TTCCGGGAAGAAAGTCGCTGATACGCCCATTTTACAGATGAGGGTGCTGAGACCTGGAGAGTGGCTCAGGCCAGCGTGTGAGTCAGAGCCATGGGTTCAGCGCTGGCTCCTCCCTGTGGAGTCTGGGCACTTAGGGACCAAGCGCAGGGTATCTCCAGGTCTGCTGTGGGACTCAGGTCAATCCCCGTCCTTCTCCCCTAACTGCCTCGTCTCTGAAAGAAGGGGGCTCAGCTGCATGAGCTCTAGGACCCTTTGAAGCTCTGACTGCACATAAAATTTCATGATCTTCCCAAAAGTCCATTGGACATTGAGACTTTGACAGGGCATCCCAGGCGAGTGTCCCCTCCAGAGTCTGAAGAAAGAACCTAGCGTGCGTGGAGAGTGGTAGCATTGAGTAAGGGGCCGCTCTGTGTGCTGCGTGTTTTACACACGCGCTTTGTCTCCATTCTGTCTATATCATAGCTTCATGAGGTAGGTGCTGCCATCGTCCCCATTTTACAGATGTGAAAACTAAGGTTCAGGGAGGGCATGGGACTCATCCACAGTCACACAGCTGGGGAGTGGCGAAGCCAGGACGAGCCTCCAGGCTCCCACTGGACCCCGCCCCACCCCCATCAGAGAGCTCCGTGACTGCCTGATGACCTAGCTGCGTCGTGTCTGGACCATGGGTTCCAAGTGGCATTTTAGTCTTGTCTGTATTTCCGGGGGCCAGCCCAGGGTCTGGCCCAAAACCGACGGTCGATAAACACCGTCAAATGAATAAATGACCCCAGCGCTCCAGAACCCATTCTATTTACCGAGCCAACTGCCCTGGAGTCTCCGTGGGAAGAAAAACAGTGGGGTGTGGGGAGAGGGCTCGGGAAGAGTCTTCATGTACAGGGGGGGCCGACACGGCTCCCGAGCCCAGATGCGCACCCTCTTTCACAAGCTCAGACCTGGGCTCAGATCGACAAAATCTTCTGCTGAAATACTTCTATTGTTTCTAAATAAATATGTAGTGAGGCAGGGGGACTGCAACCTCATTCCTTTCTCCGGTTGCCTGCGATATAGTTAGAAGGCTTACTCTTGAGTGTTACTTTCTTCTTTTGTGCTTTTTGGTATTTTCAAAATTTTACATAATGAATTCTTGAAAGGAAAATAAATGCTCAGTTTTTTAAAGGTAGGATCAATAACAAGACTGGGTATTCATATTACATCGCTTTGGGAAACAGCAGGTGGTGCTTTGTGGGTAGTGTATTTAAGTGGCACTGAATTAAGGGGTACTTTCAAAAAAGAAAAGAAAACCAAGACTCCACCTGGCAGAAGGCAGAACAAGTTGGGGAACCTGTTGCTACTGCTGATGTCCACAAGAGGGCGTCTCAGGGTCATTGGGACGCAAAATCTGAGCCCACCATCCACCTCAGCAGCAGGTTCTGGAAAATCAGCGATGCACCCTCCTCTCCAGCACTTTACACTTGACGTTGGGCTCTTTCTCCTCCTCATGTGGTTCCAGCCTGACCAGGCCAGTTCTCCCAGCAGTTTCCATTCCTGGGGGTGTGTGTGGCTGTCTCTCTGCCCAGTGGGGCAGCACTGGCATTGTGAGAGTGTGTGTGTGTGTGTGTGTGTGTGTGTGTGCAGGATGAGCAGAGACGTTCACAGGTGCACAGCTGCACACCTGGAACTTCATTCATAGAGAGGTGGCACACCCACCGATCACACTCCCGTTTCAAAACTCCAGGTCCACAACCACATTAAAAACATTTTCCACCAACCTTGTCAAAACCAGCCTGGTTTTTCAGAGTAGAGGGGGGAGAAGCCATGAACGGACAGCTGGCACCATTGCTTCTGGAGGAAAGGGTCACGGGACTTGGTGAGTGGGAGAGCAGGGAGTGCGGCTTTTCTCCACACGCTGAAGAGGCGGAGAAGGGCGTCGACGTGGCTGACACCCGCGTGGGCACAGGTGGTCTATTTTAGGGGCCACAGTGATCCTAGGAGGGAGCTCCCACTCTCCCCATTTTACAGATGGGAAAACTGAGGCTTAGAAAAGTGAAGCCATCTGCTCAACATCGTTCCTCCCACAGCCCCCCAGCTCCTCAAGGACACACAGAAGCAGGATTTTAACCCTAGAAGGGCCCAGGCCCCACCAGCCCCATCAGTGTCCCTGTTAAAGCAGACACAGGCATGCGAGCGACTTTCCAGAAAAGGGGGTAAGTGCAAGGGGGGGCAGTCAGGGCTCCAGCTCTTGACTCAGGAGGCCGCACGACCCACTCCGGAGTTCTGGCTGGCTGCGGGGAGGCCCAGCTCTAGTTCAAGGGTTCTGCCAGCCAGTGCACGAAATCATCTATGTGTTTCCTCATTAATGCAATCTGTACTTACACTTCTTACTATAATTAGTCTGCAGTAATTAACAAGGGAAAATAACACATCTGGGCCTACGCTGCAACTCCAAACAGACACAAGACGCAGAGGCACTGGGAGGGCCTCTCAGTTGTTTGGCAAACGTGCATCCAGCTCCTACTACGCAGCGGCCTGTTGAGATGCTGGGGGTTCAGTTGCGAGCGGAGCGGGAAAGGACCCTGGGAAAGCCTGAGGGGGCGGCGAGTGGACAGTGGGTACCTGAACACGTCAAAGGTGTCAGTAAATGATAACTACTGTGAAGACAATAAAACAGGGTGACGTGTGGCCAGGAAGGTCTCTCCTTGGAAATGGCATTTGAGCTGAGGCCTATGGAGGTGTGAGGACATGCTAGGCTGGGGGCAGGGCACGTGCCAAGGGCCTTGGGTGGGAACAAATTTATCCTGTTAAGAGAAGGCCCAAAGGCCAGTGTGAGCATGTGACAGCGTGGGGTGGGGGGTGGCCAGCCCAGACCCTGGAGGGCGCTGGAAAGCCACCTGAGGACAGTTGGTGGAATCTGATTTTGCATATTTCAAACAGGCCCCTGTCTGCTCTTTTCTGTGGGCGCGGGGGAGGACCCCCACAGGCAGAGACTGGGCAGAGATTTCCTGGAGGTTCTGTAAACACTGTGCAGCAGGAGGAGGGGGAAGAAAGATGGGAGGAGGGATGGGGAGGTGAGGAGGAGGCACCGGGACCGGACCTGGCCTGCATCATCACCTTTTAGAGGAAGGACTCACCCGCTGGCCAGGCCGGAAGACAAGGTCTCTCCTTCCTGGGGTCCCGTTTCTCCCGAGCGGGTGGGATGGGAGCAGAAAACCTCTTTCAAAGAGCTTTCTGTTGGTTTTTCTCTCCTCTCCTCCCCGCCCCACCTGCCTTCCCAGTTTGGGGGCATTTATTGTTCTTTGTGGGGGGAGGTCAGAGGGGGTAGGCAGGGTGAGAAATGCCTCTCGTAGACACAGGTGGGGTTTGGGGGGTCACTGCTGGCTCTGGAGCCGCCCCCACGAGGCAGACCGTCACACCTTCCTGGCTTCTATTAATTCTGTCTATGCTCCCTGCCCACCCCTCTCTGCCCCGGCCCCGCCTGCTTCTTTGGGCCTGAGGGACCCTCCACAATTATCTCTCCTGCCCCCGGCTCCCGTATAAACTCTCCCAACGGCCCTCGCTTTCGCCGCCTCGGGCCGAAGCCACTGGGGACACCTCCGGGCTGTGCGGGGCCAAGCGGTCCCTGCTCCCCGAGCGGCGGTTCGAGAAACTGCAGAGTCAGCGCTGCCGCTGCGCGGGCCCTGCGGGCTGCGCGGGGGTAGAAGTGGGAATGGGGGTGGGGGGACCAGGCTCGGAGCCCGCGGCGGCGGGGGTAAGGCCCGCGGCGCCGCAGCCCAGCTCCCTCCGCTGCCGGGACGCCTCTCCTGCGCTCGGAGCCCAGGTCCTGCCTCCCCCACCCCCAACCCCCGGAATTGACACCTGGCTTTACACCTGACTTCTTGTTGACCTTGGCCCTTCGGATCTGTTTCCTCTTTAAAAACCTGTGGAGACCAACTCCGTCTGGCGTGGCTCAGTGGGCTGGGCGGCGTCCTGCAAGCCGAAAGGTCGCCTCTTTGATTGGGTCAGGGCACTTGCTCGGGTTGCTGGTTCGGTCCCAAGTTGGGGTGCGTAGGCGAGGCAGCGCATTGAGGGCTTCTCTCCCTCTCTTTCTCCCTCCCTTCCCCGCTCTAAAAAAATAAATAAATAAAATCTTAAAGAAATAAAGAAAGGAGAAGAAAGGAAACTGTGGAGACCACAGTAGTACTTACCCGAGAATAAGTGATTGCAGAAATCACGCTGTAAGCAAGGGTTATGTGTTTACATGTTGGGGGAGGAGCTCGCTTTGTGGCCTTTCAGTGCGCACCGGAGTGATGAAGATGACGGTGCGGGAATCGGCGTCCTGGGTTCTAATCTCCGGGCTGAATGCCCCTCGGCCCTTGCTGTGCCTGCTCGTCCTCGCAGGTGACGTGCGGGTGATGTCTGTCAGCAGCACGCGCTGTGCGTAGTCTGAGGGTCCATGTTTCATACATGCGAAGCGCTTACAAGAGTGGCTGGTGCAAGAAGTGCCCATTAAGCATAAACTGTGGCTACTGTCACCCCAGTCTGCAGGTGGAGACAGTGAGGCACAGGTTCTGGGAGCCTTTCCTCCAGGGCTCCCAGCTGATCACCTGCTCCCTCTGCCGCTCCTTCATGGGTCGGGCTCACGTGGATCCCCATTTTGCTTTGGTTTCTGCTCCCAGCCCCCTCCCAACCCACTCCCACCTCCTTTCCAGGTCCCTCCTCTGAGGACGAGGTGTAGCCAGCCCAGAGGTGGGCTAGCTCAGAGCTCCTGGGGGAGTTGAAAACAATATGCCAGGTTGAGGTCCTGGACCTACAGGGTTCCCCAGTGCAGGGCAGCGGGGAGAACCCTGGGCTCTGAATTACCCCTGGAGATTCCTGCTGGCTGTGTACACTGGGGAAAGGAAAGATCACAGCTTATGGAGACAGACCTGGGTGTGGATTGTCCCCGCTTCTCATGCTTGGTGTCCTTCAGCGAATACTTGACCTCTCGGAGCCCAGTTTTCTTAGCTGTAAACAGACGGTGATATCTGCCTTGTGGGGTGATGGCAAGTCTTGGAGATAATCATGTGAAGCCCCTCCCACTTCGCCCAGCACCCATGACACGGCAGCGAGCATTTGGGTTGTAGCTGCTGGTGACTTGCTACGTGAGCCTGTGTGTATCTCCTGCCTTCTCTGAGCTTCGTTTTCCCCAGCCTGGTAGTGAGATGGCTGATCAGATGACCGGTAAGTGCTGCAGCTGATCTTAACTTCTGTGATTCTTACAGAGGAGAAAGATTCTGTGGGTACCCTGCCTGTGTCCCCTCAGCACTCACTGGGTTTGTAACACACCCGAGGCGTCCTAACTCAAGCACCCACAGCTCTCTGCCCTAGAGCTTTCTCTGGTTGCAGGAGCAAACCAGCAAACCTGGCCTGCGTGGGTGGGTGGCCAGAAAAGTCAGGGAGAGGATGCCCCAGGAGCAGCCCTCAACCACCGATGGATGGTAGCTGGTGGACCACTATCCCAGCCCCCTCAGTCCCACGTGCGGCAGCCCCGAGGCCTTCTTACATGAAGCTTGCCAGGGTTGCCCGGCCTGAGGGAGCCCCAGTTATACCCACAGCAGTTACCTACTCATGAACCCCCGCTGAACTGGTTTCTTCCTGCCCCTGAGTCCTGTCCCCACCCCTTGGCATTGCTTCCTGGGACCACCTACCAAATCAACCATGCACTCAGCTCTGGAGCTTGGTGTCTTCCCTCAGTGGTCCTGGCAGGGGGGTCATTATCCAGCACTAGAGCCGCTGAGGGGCCACAAGCCTGGGTGCAAACAAAACTTTCCCCTTTCCTGAAGCTCAAGTCCAAATGTCAGCAGTTCCTGGAGCTCCGAGGAGACGCCTGGACTGCCAGTACCTGATCCTAAGACACCCTCCAAAAGGTATCCTGAATGAAAGGGCAGAGCTGGGAATACTATGTGCAGGAATGAATAATGAATGAATGAATGAATGTGCTTTTGCCCACAGATCTCCTTCCACATTGCTGCTGCCTCCAGGACTGGCAACATTTTGGGGGAAAGGACCAAGTAGCATGAACAAGGAAATCATGACTCACAATCAAAACAAGAGCCCAGACCCCGTGAGTCCATCTGTCCGGGTCACAGAGTACCTTCACAGCCATGATCTTACTTTATATTCCCAATGACCTGACAGGGAAGGTTTTACTGTAATTGCCATGATTATTATTTGTGTCATCATTGCCATTCCTCATTACTATTATCTCGTGACTGTAGCATGCAGCCACTCCTGGGCCCCTGGCAGACATGAGTAATCAACCAGGCTGCCAGGGGCCCAGTGATCAATCAATCACTAGGCCTCCGGGTGTCCTCAGAATTTCCTCCATCTGGCACTGTAGGTGGTCATCACCCTTCAACTGAAGTTGGCGTGAAAGCTGAAACCCATTTTTGCCTCCCTGGTTAGCAACTTTCCTAACAACAATAGATTCTTATGAAACTGGAAGGTTCAAGGAGGAAGAGGCAATGCAGCCTCAGGGCTTGGGTCCCCTGACCCCCACTGTCTAGGGCTCTGCATGCAGACATCACTTAGAAGGCTGCTTCAGCGAATGGTTCCCACATTTCTCCGACCTAATGGGATAGCCCCAGACACTGTGACAGGCGCACACACACACACACACACACACACTTCCTCTGTGGCAGCCATCTCTTCAAACAAACAAACAAAAAAGTCACCGAGCAGTGCTGGCAAGGAAATAAGGCAGGATGGAGTCTGGGGGTCAGCCGGTTACCACAGCCAGGGACACAGGCTTCCTAAACCACGCAGTGGGGCCAGATACCGTGGGCAGCCTGCGCTGTAATGAATTAATCACTGATAACAAAGTCTCAAATTTGCTCTTATCTCTAAAGAGAGAAATGCTTTTGACTCGCAAATTGGAAATTTTCATTTTCGTCACCGCAAAAGCATGAATTGTCTCTTGATTCGTGACTTCCCACACAGAAGGTGTTCCGTGTGGAGCCCAGGACCTGGCTGAGTAGAGGGGGAGAGGCCTCCCTGAGCCGTTCCGGAGAGGGGACACCTGGCCCCTGCCAGGTGACCTCCCTGAGCCACAGTCTCCTCATCGGGAGACATGCCCACCCCGTCTGGCGGCCACATTGCAGTGCGGTGAGGCCAGTGACCAGCTGAGTAACTGGGCAAATCACTTGGCCACTGTCGTCCTATTTAGAAAAAGGAAAATAATGCCAATTTCTTAGACACGGCATTGAGCTCACACTGGCGTCACACTCGGTGTGTGCGTGCAGAGGCAGCCCCTGGGAAGCGCAGAGCAGGCCTGAGTCTCTCGATCGCGCTAGTCCCCGTCCCCCCTCTCCCTGAACTGTTGTGAAATGGAAGGAGATGATTTATGGGAAAATGATGTTTACGCTAGTGCTGTCCCAACGTTAGAGCCTCCTGTGACAACGCAAATGTTTCTAATTCACACTGTCCAATACGGTTGTCACTAGCCCCACGTGACCGGGGAGCACCTGAAACATTGCTACTGTGCTGAAGAACTGTGTTTTAAATTTCTTTATTTATTGATTTTAGAGAGAGAGGAAGGGGGGGAGAGAGAAAATTCAATTTGTTGTTCCACTTGTTTACACATTCACCGGTTGATTCTTGTATGTGCCCTGACCGGGGCTCAATCCCACAACTTTGGTGAATCAGGATGATGCGCTAACCAACGAGCCTACCTGGCCAGGGCTGAAGTACTGTATTTTAAATTTTAGTCAATTACTTTTTAAAAAATATTTTATTTATTTATTTTTAGACAGAGGGGAAGGGAGGGAGAAAGAGAAGGAGAGAAACAGCAATGTGTGGTTGCCTCTTACATGCCCCCCACTGGGGACCTGGCCTGCAACCCAGGCATGTGCCCTGACCGGGAATGGAACGGGCAACGCTTTGGTTCACAAGCCAGCACTCAGCCTACTGAGCCACACCAGCCAGGGCAACTTTTTTTAAATTTAAACAATTTAACTTGAAGAAGCCACATGTGACCAGTGGCAACCAGGGTGGACATGACAGACCTCAGCCTACGAGGATAACAGCGACCTCCCCCGGGAAGCAAATCTCTTCTCTGTGCCCCACTCTGAAATCAGCATGTGGGGACTCAGCTGTCATTGTTGCCCAAGTGCGCATGAGTTCCAAACCCAGCTTACAGACCAGGAGTCCTGGAGACCATCCAAGCTGAATCAGCCATTTTTAATAGAAAAACCGAGACCCAGAGAGGATGGCATGGCTCACCCAATGATACACGACCCAGGCGTCCTGATTCCCGGTGCTGTCTCCACCGCAGGGAGAGTCTTCCCAACCACGTCAAGCTACTTGGTGACCCCCCAGATGAACCCTGTCTGCGGTGTTGGACTGAGCCCACTCTAGTTACTGTTGACATTCTGAAATGCTGATTCCTGGCCCGAGAGCCCTGCAGCTCAGAGGTAGATATTTGTTCTTTCCCATGGCCAGGAGAGTCCCACAAAACAGCCACACACCTGCCAGAGGGAAGATGTGTCCGGCTCGGGGACTTTCTTGTGGCCCAGCAACCTGAGAGTCCACATGGTGAAACCTCAGGTGAGTGGCAGCCAGACTGGCCCCCAGACAGGCAGAGCTCTGAGTTGCTCTGAATTTTATCTCCTCTTCTTAGAACTGCATGGAGGCCCTTGGGTGAATCTGGTCCAGGGAAGCCCGAACAAAAGCACATGGTAGGAAACAGTAAAGATCAGGGGAGAAGTGTCTGTGGAACCCAGCAGAGAAATGGATTAAGTGAGATATCATCTCATCAAAACTGAAGGCAGACAAAGCCTCTTTAAGAGCAGAACCATTCACACTGAGGGGATTGCCCATAAAACTCATCACGTGGATTATTATCTAATCTGAGAGGGGTTTTGTGCTTAAGACACTGCTCAGCTGCTATCAGAGCACTTTCTGCTGCTTTGCATGGGTCATGCTAGCACAGACCACGGACCGTGCTGTGCAGGAAACGCACTGGTTTCTCCAGTGATGGCCTGGCTGCCAACCCCAGCTAGGGGATAGAAGTCAGGCCTAGGAACCGGAAGCTAGGAACCGGAAGCCTGGTTTGAGCAGGGCCACTGCTTCGCTGTGCAGTGCTAGACACTTCGTCTCACCCCCTAGGACCTTAGTCTGCTGTGTGCAAACAGGTAAGAGTTTTGAGGGCCCTTTGGCCACCGCCTATGGCCCCATCCCCCATCACAGCCCCTAATACCTGTCCAGATCTCCTGGCTCATGAAACTACCCCATTTCCTGGGTATGCTGGGCAGTTTCATTATTCATGGCTGAACCCCAGATCAAATTGTCCTGTTTGTTTTCTTGATGATTGTCTGTTTCCTCCACTGGATGTCAGCTCTTCAAGAACAGGGAGGTTGTCCGCTTTGCTCACTGATGTACTGAAGTGTACCCAACCCTAGACCAGGGGCTGGCAGAAAGTAGCTGCTTAAGAAGTATCTGTGGAATGCTCAAAATGGATCACAGAGAACTAAATGTAAGAGCTAAAACTATAAAATGTTTAGAAAGAAAGAAGAATGAATTTTTGTGACCTTGGGTTAGGTAATGGTTTCTTAGATATAATACTGAGAACACAAGTGACAAAAGAAAAATAGATACATTGGAGTAAATCAAAATGAAATGTTTTGTGCTTCAAAGGATAGCATCAGGAAAGTGAAAAGACAACCCACAGAATGGGAGGAAATATTTGCAAATCATATATTTGATAATGGTCTAGTATTCAGAAATATATAAAGAACTCTTAGAACTCATCAACAAAGAGATAAATAATTGTAAAAAATGGGCAAGGGATCTGAAGATATTACCCCAAGTAATATATACAAATGGCAATAAGCACGTGAAAAGATGCTAAACATCACTGCATTCTCTGAGGAATGCAAATCAAAACCCCAATGAGATACAACTTCACACCCACTGGGACAGCTAGAACCAAAAAATCAGAAAATGACTAATGTTGGTGAGGCTGTGAAATTCAATTCCTCATCCACTGCTGGTGGGAATGTAAAATGATTTAGCCACTTTCTCACTGTGGAAAACAGTTTGGCAGTTCCTTGGAAAGTTAAACATAAAGTTGCCATATACCCAGCAATTTCACTGCTAGGTATATGCCCAAGAGAATTGGAAACAAGAGCTTTTACACCAATGTTCATAGAAGCATTATTTATAATAGCCAAGAAGTGGATGAAAGCAACCCACATGTCCATCAACTGATGAATGGGTAAATAAAACGTGTTCTAGCCATACCATAGGCCAAATGTTACTCGGCAATAAAAAGCAATGATGTGCCGTTACAACGTGTGTGAACTTGAAAACAGGATGCTAAGTGAAAGAAGCTGGTCACAGAAGACCAGGATGTGTGATTCCACTTATGGGAAGTGCCCGGATCAGGCAAATCCATAGAGACAGAAGGTAGTTTAGTGGTTGGAGGAGGAGGCAATGGGGGGTGATGGGTAATAGTTATGGGCTTCTTTTGGGGGGAACAAAAATGTCCTACATTAAATTGTGGTGATGGTAACACAACTCTGGTAAATTTACTAAAGCCATTGTACTTTTTATTTTTAATTATTTTTAATAATATTACTATTTTTAAAAGATGTTATTCATTTTCAGAGAGAGAGGGGAAGGGAGGGAGAAAGAGAGGGAGAGAAACAGCAATGAGTAGTTACTTCTCACGTGGCCTCCACTGAGGACCTGGCCCACAGCCCAGGCATGTGCCCTGACTGGGAATTGAACTAGTGACCCTTTGGTTCACAGCCTGTGCTCAGTCCACTGAGCTACACCAACCAGGGCAGCGTTGTACTTTTTAAATGGGTGAATTGTATAACATGGGACTAGGTCCATAGAACTTCCTTAAAAAAAAAGTTAAAAAAAAACTCCCCCCTATGGAACAGCGAAGACCTCCGGGAAGGGGTGGTGTCTGAGGCGAGACCTGTGATGTGGGGCGAGTGGAGGGAGGAGAAGTCTGGGCAGAGTGTGGGGGTCACCGAGGAGGAGGTACACAGAGAGAGAGCTTTCTGAAGGAAGCGCACCTGGTAAAGATCCGGAGGAGGGAAGGGTGGATCCTGGGGCTGGAGGAAGGGCAGTATGTCTGGAAAGAGGCAGAAGAGACATTATAAGCAGGTAAGAGAAGAGGAGGGGTAAGTCCCCATTCTACTGGAGGAAAGTAGAACTGCACTCTCAGCCCTGGTCCTAAACTCTTTGTTTCTTGAGGGAATCAGGCAGTGAGTGTGCTGGGCTGTGGGGTGAGCCTGGTAGGAGCAGGGTCAGCAGCTTGTGGGGACACTGGGGGTGGGGTAGCCTACACCCTGGTGATTATACTGTGTCTTCAGCCCAGCTCTGCGTCACTCCCTTCCTCAGATGCCGCCCGGGGCTGCCT